CTGTCAGATAATACCACTCATCGTGGGAGGTGCACACTTTACAGGTAGGAAGGGACCAGTGGACGGTACTTCCAGTTTGAACCACTTCGCGATAGGTGGCTCTATAGCCGAGAAACAAAATGTTGTCTACAGAACTCTGGGTGTCAGCGTTTCCACATCCAAAAGGAGGCTGGTCAAGAAAGAAAGCACACCACATAAACTTCCATACTCAAACGTCGATTCTCCAGTGATTCCGAGTTTCATTGTTGTTTTCTTTAGATTTATATTTGCCACTTTTTTTACCTTTCTAATCTTTCTTTATGAAGTACAGATTGCGTGCCATACTTGTCCGGAAATATCATCGACACGTACGATGGGGACGAAACTTCTTTGGAGGGCATTCCTCCAACGAAATTGGCACTGCATACCTGCGAGTGTGGGTTTGTCCCATCGGCGCTGACACATGTAGGCGTTACTGGTACGAAAACAAACGCAGAGCGCAAAGCGGCAGTGTAGAATATGTCAGCCGTGCCGACACAGTGGCAGACATGATCGGGAGACCAAATTTCTCACGTCGTACGGCATGGCTCCATCGTTGTCGCTGTCCCACAAAACATCGGCGAGGTGAAAAACTGTGAAACTTTGTTTCCACGAGATATGACGCATAATTATTGAAGCACTTAATGACGCAGCACAGGCAGCACTTCATGCTGTGAACCCAGCGCAACCGCACCACTCCGACTTCAATGCGTACCAACATACGCGGCGTGGTTTCGGTTTCGTTTTCTCTGGGGTTCTCGCTGCCTACCTTCGGTACCGGCCGCGCGGCGGCGCGCCAGTCGCGTCGCACGGAGTGTATACATCACGGAGTGACGTAAAACAGCCACTCTGCGCACGTTGAAAGAGCGGGAGTTTCAAACGTGGAGAAGTTGTGACTCCGACTAAATTACATACTGTGGCGTAAATATTGCTAGAAAAAATTTGTTTTTTCGCAGAAGATTTGTTTTGTGACATGCTTGTCCCATATAGGCTTTTTAAAAAAAAAACTTTTTTTTTCTTTGCAATTACCCTTTAAGCGAAGCTCTTGAGTTTCGAGAAAGATTGTGCACACACAGCAAAAACAGATGTGACCAACAAGTGGATTGGAGCTGAATGCAATTTATGACTGGCATTACTTGTTGACCCATGTTTGCAAAGATTTTTATTGCTCCCGTCCTGTCTTGTCTCACTGAAGAAACCTAAGTTAGGATGGACTGATTGTACCCAACATGTTCAGATATATCCAAGCATATTAGCCAAAGGTGCATAATTAGCGCTAACTTGATTGATGCGTTTACAGCAGTAGCTGTTAGTGGCACTTCCCGGCAAAAAAAATGCTTACGTATGATTGCAAAACCCCACCCCAAAGCAGAGGCACTCCTCTCCCTTGTTCAACTGGGACAGCAACCCTGCAGGCCGTTGCTCTCCCGAAAAACCCACATGCCATGGCGGGGAGAACACCCTCCCTTCCTCCCCCAACCCCTCCGGCAGCCGCTGTTGCGAAATACCCAAGTGGTCGCGCTGAACAAACATGCTCCCTCGCCTCCCCATTGCCGCCGCCCAAAGTATGTATGTGAGCTGTTCTGTAGAGGCGCTCTACAGTAAGCTCACGTACACACACTCGCTCCTTCCACCACAGGCGTAGTCACGGGCGCCCCCTTCCTCAAAAAGCGTTTCAGCAAAAAAAAAAAACAAAAAAAAAAAAACATGCATGTCTCTGTTGTCCTTTTTCAACACCTGCAACATCTCGCACATTCGTTCCACCAAAGCACACATCTCCTCACACATGTCTCCTACATCAATTCCACCAAAAGCTAAGAACCCATTGTAAACACTGTACAGCAAACTGGCTAAAGGCAAATCTCCTTCAACATGCCTTTCCACAATGCAGAAGCTACCGTTGCCAATTGCAACACGCTTCGTGTGCTAGTTTGCAATTTTTATAAATGCAGTATCATAGACAAACATCAACTAGTTTTCAAAAAGATTGTCATTTTTCTAAAGAAAGGCTAGACAGGCTAGAAATGCTTCGTTTGAATTGAGTCACGCAGTGCCTTTACTGTAATATTACTGAAAGGACTCAGGCAGATAATTTTAGGTAAACAGCGGAACAGCGAGAACCAAACATGAGAATCTCGACAATCGGGAAAACCTAACTTCCTCAGAAAACATTTACTACCGTGAATAACAAAATCTGTTATCAAAAATTTACAATAGTTTGAATACATGTTACCAGAGCACCTTTTCAATGTTTTTTAGTCCATTTTGTAAAGTAACAAAAAAGTAATGATGTTACGTTTTGAAAAAAAACTAGAACCAGGAGTTTAAAAATGTTTGAACACTACTCCTGGTCACTGGTTCGATACCAGAACCAGGCGAATTTCCGGTCGGGCACCAGTCACCTAGCTGTGTTTGGAGATTTGTGTTTGTCCTTTAATAATCCCATCTCCAGGGATTATTTTCGCCATTCTTGTCCAGCTTGCTTGCATCTTTGTATTTAACTGCATTATCATCACAACTGCAACTAACTACCTTTTACTCTCTAAGTAAAACTGTAATAATGTTATTTTTTAGCAGTAACATGCCCATGACTGGCAGAGACTCCCACTTTGTAAGAGGTTGTTCCGAACAAAATTTTGACCTATTTCACCTTTGGGTTTCAACAAAAAGTTTGTCAAAAAGTGGGACACCAGGAGGAAAAACTGGGGCAATCCTATCGAGAGGGACAACATCCCCACTTTGTGAAAGGTAAAAAAAATTCAGACTTGGTGCACCCTTCTTGGGGCACACAGGAATGTTATAATTGTAAACTGCCCCTTTTTGGTTTCTGGATATTCAGTTTACTTTTTTGTTTCCTTGTATTTTCAGAGACTTGAGTCTAGTGACCCTGCAAGGCTGTCAGTAGTTGCTCTTCAAACTTTTCTTTTTCTGCAGATAAGCACTTTGTGGCCTTGTCTCCATAAAATGTTCAGTGAACATTTTCCATTTTTGATTATTTATCCAAGTATGAATTGTGAAATGATCCATGGATATCAGCCTATGACTCTGGTGCTATAAATATCCCCATGAAAAATGGGTATTTGACAAACTGAGAAGATGGAGGAGGTTTTTCAATACAGTGAAGGGGACAAAGCTTGTCACGCAAGTGGACAAACGGGCTGTATTCCTTTGGGTATGAATTGTATGGTGGAAGACGAAGTTGGAGTCATAAATAAAAGCAATCGGGCCGAGCCTGGATTAGGTTAAAAAATTGCGTTAGGTCTGGGGTGAGCTCATGTTTAGAAGGCTTGTCGGGCTTGGGCGGATGGGCCAGGCCTAGCAATTCAAGTTCATACAGTGCTCTAATGAAGGCCATGGATCAAAGTGAAGATGCAGGTGAGTTGGTTCATGGTACAACTGGAAACAGCAAACAAATAACAAAGACGACGAAGGTGTAGATGGGACAAGTGACGGGACCAGCGCTTGCCCCACCTACAACTTTGTCGTCTTTGTGATTTGTGCACTGTTTCCAGTCGCAGACTATGGCAGTTTTGAGGGTTTTTTTTTTCTCTCATGTTTTATGCCCTCTGTGTCTCACCTCACAGTCTAACCAACATAGTTTCCCCCAGTCATTGTTTAGCATTGAAAAGGAATTGTACCATTCCCAACATCCTGGGAAGGCTCAACTCAACACTTCTGGAAATCAAAACAATTTCAATGAACTCTTTCACAATCCTCGAGCAGGCACTTGTTTATGAATCAGCCTCTCTCAAAGGGACATTGAACTCCCCAAAAAAATGCTTTTGGTTAAGCGACTTGATAGGGCATGCAAGTCACAAAATGAACTTTTCCCCAGAAAAACTTTTTTAGCACATTATTTATGTTCCGAGACACATTTTGAGATAGGAGCCCTTCTGAAACATGCTTCACAGCACGTCGACCCAAAATAGAAGCACGAAATATATGTAAATATTGCACTAAAAACTTTTTCTCATTCGGGGAGAGTTTATTTTGTGGCATATGTGTCCTACCCAGAAACATTCAAACTATATTTTCGCTTGACAAACAAAACAAATATTTTTGGTAAGGTTTGAGTTTCATTTGACAGGATATTCATATTTGCCAGAATATTTAACCAATATTCTGTCAAATGAAAAAAAAATTAAATTTGCATATTTTTTCTACTTATCAGCAGAAACTGCAGACTAATGTATAACAGCCAGAGGCAAACTTCTAAATAGTACAATAAGCAGACTAGGTTAGCCAAACTTGAAGGGCAACATATTTGCATCATCTCAGTTGAAAACAGGAAGGGAAGAAGGGCGCATGCAGCATTTCACTTCATTATTATTATTTGGAATTTCCGAACAGTGTGGCATTTCTTTTCAAGACCCTACTTTGAAATGTTTGATGTTCTTTGGTCCTCTCTTTTGAAAACAATGAATGATAAAATGAGAAAAGTGGAGTATCAAATACTGCAGGTGAGTCTGCCTAGAGTGGCAATTTGCCTAGTGCACCTCTGCAGGCACTAAACCAAATGCAAATGTCTAAAATTCTGAGGCAAAAAATAAAAAAATCTTCGTAACAAAGGATTGCACTAGAAGATAGAAGTTGCGGAGCCGGCACCACATCCCAGTTCAGAGCCCCCCCAACTGAGCAGCTCCCTTGGGAACCACTGAAATAAGGAACAGCCCTTTCCTTAACATTAGCAAAGTAGTGTTCAAACATTTTTAAACTGTTTCTTGCAAAAACAATTGTGTAGTGTATCCACGACCAATCAAGGCATTGGCTGTTTTTTCCAGTCAGCCATGGTTGCTGAACCTCTGAAGTGGTTAAAGAACTGTTCTAAGCATACAGGTTGCTTCCATTCATCACTTGAGCATCATATGCCTAAGAAAAGCCTCCATGGCCTTGTTATTATATTGTAGCTAGACATTCCCCCCGAAATTTATTTCTGTGGAAATTTTTTATGAGACAACTAAACACAAAAAAGTAATGCTCACCGGAGTCATGTCTTGAAGATACCTGGTGAAGCACCGGTGGCTTTGACGGAAGGGGAGGCTTGCTACTGTTGAGCCGACCAAAAGTGGCGCAGGGTGGGTGTTTGGCACATTCAGAATCATCATTGGCTGTTTCTCTCCACTCTAGGCTACCCACAGTTGCTTCGTCCACATCCATGTGCTGCTTAACGTTAGTCTCCTCAACTGACAATCCTTCGGTCATGTTGTGATGAGTGTGGACATGCTTGTTTGAACCTGTTGGCACACATGCTCCTAGAGACGGCATTTCAAAGTGCTCATTGATGCATTCTACGGCCCGCGACTCCCCAGCACCGGAGTCCAATGAGCAGCTAGAACTACTAAGAGCAGATGACAGTGTTAACTTTAGATCTTCTACTAATTCTGGGGCTTGCTCCTTCCCAGAGTCCTCCACGGCAGGTGGCAGAAGTCGAACTTGCTTCAATTCCTCTGGCTGCCGAGGATCTACAAGCGCAGAGCAGTCCTCCGACGAACGTCTTAAAGACTCAACTCGTGGTGGCGCTGAGGGCTTCTTATGTTGAGGAACTTTAACTGGAGGTAGGGGTTCCTCGTCAGGAACTTTCTTCTCTAAAACCGGAGCTATGGCAGCCTTTGCAACGTCTTGCTTTCCCACCCCATTGGCAACAGCAGATTCTGAGCCAATTATCTTCTGCTCTGCCGCACTTGCAACGCTGCACTTGGTGCCATGCGAGTCTCCATTGACCAATGTCTTTGCAGGCTCCTCGGAAGGTGCTTCCTCGCTCCATCGTGGAAATGATGAAGCAGGGGCTGATGAAGAGGGTGAACTAGCAGGAGAACTTGCAACACTGCCTCTGCGCCCTGGAGTTGCCACCATCTGAGGCTTCTTAGATGCTTCCTGCAATCGCTCAAACATAGCGCGGGCATTGTAGAAACGGGCAACATGGCTGTCACTGCGAGTTAGCGTGGGAGGGCCTGATGGCCTCGCCGCTTCCACGGGGTTCTGCTCCAGGGGCGACGTGCGTGCCAGTGATTCGGTTGACGCTGCCTTGTTTTCGTCCCGGGCTTGGAACATGTTGGCAATGGAGCTGACTTTGGAGCCAACCTTGACCCCACCAGGAGATAAGCGTCGCCGCTCGGCCCCATCTTGGAGTTGGTTAGGACGTGATTCAAATGTGGAGCGGAGGCTTGAGATGAAAGGTTTTGCAGGCGATGTGGGTGAGGAAGACGTAGGGGGAGGTTCGTCAAGCCACCCCGTACGCGAGCGTGATGCCGCCAGCACTTCAGAACGGCGGACGTCAGCCATGTTGTAGCCGTGACTTTTCAGCAGTGGTGGAAGACCAACTCTCTTCGGCCATCATGTGTTCTGGTAAAGAAAAATCAAATGAAGCAATGAGTTAAGGGTGTCTTGCACAGACAAGACAGAACTAGTTCAGTCTCCACTCAGACTTTGCCACAGGCGCTGACTACAGGGGAGGCTCGGGGGCCAGAGCCCCCTCGGAAATTTCCCGGGAGGGGCAAAGCCCTCCGCCGGAAAATGCCAGGAAAAGGAGAGGGGGGGGGGGGGTATGCAATTGTACCAAGCAAACATTCATTCATTCATTTATTTTACCCTCAAGGCACCTGAAAGCATTACGTGAGGGGCGGAATAGAATGCAAGGAAAGATTGTAGCAAAAGTCAAAAACACTCGACATAGAAAACAGGATGTGAAAGATCACAGAAATTTAAACAAAAACATGCACAACGACCACACATCAAAAGAGAATATGAAATCCAAAAGGACTTAAATAATTCCACACATGCACTCATAAACAGTGTACGATCTTGTATGCTTAACATTTTCAGGTAGCTCATTACGTTCATTGCTTGGGACACGCGTGTCAAAAAATTAATTTTGCGGAAAAAAAAAAAAAAAAAGTTTAGAACAATATTGACGGCACGACACGATTTAGTCGGTAGTCACCTCCTTTCAACTTGTTTTCTCTCTCGGTATTTCGGGTGCATGGAGGAGAGGTCGATTGGCTTGGCCATCTCATTGAGGTGGAAAGAGTGTGACCATTCCGTAACGTCATGGAGTTTTACACGCAAAATCTAAAATAAGTCTCGCACCGTCAATATTGCTGTAAAAAATATTTTTCTGTGTGTAAATTTAGTTTTTTGACACACGTGTCCCAACCAGACTTTTAAAAAAAAAATCTTTTTTTCTTCTTTTCAGAGGCTATTTAAGGGAAATTCGGAAAACTGTTTTGTGAGACATAAGGGCAACCTGATTTTGTGCTGCTGGTCATGCTGAGGAAAGATTCGATGCACAGGAAGTAAAAGTTAACTTTTCAGATATGGATTATAATAATACATTCGGTGGATAAAAGTTAGTCGTGACACTTTGCACCTATTGCATAAGTGATCGAGGCCAGCTCTGGACTTTAATGCTGTTACACTAGACATGAACGAATAATCTCTAAAAATAAAACAAACAAATTCTGAACAGACTTAATTTTTTGTATTAATGCTAGCATATTCTATCTGTGAACGAATAAAGGATGTATAAGCTAGCAATAGGACATCACTAGGTGCCAAAAACAAATTCCTTCTAAAGTACCCTAGAGTGTGACTGGCCTGGCTCACAATACAATCAATATACATTTTCCAGTCGCATTTCTCAGTTAGAATTACTCCGAGATATTTATAATATGTTACCTGTTCAAGATCTAAACCATCAACTTTATAGTCAGAGATAGATTTCGACTTTAACATTGAAAAAGTAAGAAATTTGCTCTTCGAAATGTTGATACCCATTTGACATTTCTCGCACCATAGTGATAAGGAATCCATAATCATCTTTTGTAACAATGCACCTATATATTATGCTATCGTCTGCAAAGAGCCGAATTTTCGAACAAATTAAAGTCTGAAGATCATTTATGTAAATTAAGAAAAGAAGAGGACCTAGGACTGAGCCCTGGGGAATATCGGATTTTACTACAGTTCTGCGGGACGAGTCTTAACAGACTGAGACTGATTGCGTTCTTTCAGAAAAAAATTCTTTGATCCAACTGATAACAGACTGCACAATATTAAGAGATTCAAGTTTTTTATTAATCGCTTGTGTGAGACCCGGTCAAAGGCTTTCGAAAAATCGATAAAGATAGCGCCGGTTTGGGTTTGTGAATGAATGTTATAATAAATACCAGTAATAAATTCAAATAGCTGAGTTTTACATTACTTCTCTTTACGGAAACCATGTTGGTTGGGAAGAAAGAAGTTAATATCCAAAAGGTAAATGACAATAAGGCTGTAGATCACATGTTCTAAAAGTTTGCAGGGTGCACTGGTTAGGGAAATGGGTAGGTAATTATTAGCGGATGCAACGTCTTCAGATTTTAGAACGGGAATAATGTTTGCGTGTTCCAGTTTTCAGGTAGTTTCCCTTGGTCCAAACTTTGTTGAAACAACATTTGCAGAAGCCTACTGGAGAACGGCAGAGTGAGCTTTAGTAGTTTAGACGTTATTCCTTAACTCCCCAGACTAGATGAGTTGGAAAGGTTGAGTATAAGCTGGCTAATCCCGTTAGTCAATGATTATTCGATCAAGAAAAGAATCATAATTATCACAGACAGGCGGGGAAATGACTTATCAGTGTAAAACCCACCAAAGAATTTATTGAAAGCAGCTGCACTCTCAGGGTGTCTAGCAAATTTTTATTTGCAAATTCCCTGACTTTTTCAGATTTTCCCTGACAATGTCAGGTGAAATTCCCTGACCACTGTAGATGCGGTTAAATATATAAGACCATTCGACAAAAGGCAGTGAGCATTGAGCAGTGTGAGGATCATTTTGTAAGGGCTTAATCCAACTTGCAGATTCCGAAATATTTGGGTTCGTTCAGTCCGGATTAAACAAGCACTTTCTTGCCGCCGACATCGTCAGTGAAGAGGCCCACTTCCAGAAACACAATGAAAACACGACACTCAATCACACACGTTCATAACCAAATGGCACCATGGCCGCCAGATGCACACTTTGGGATACTTTTGGCTTAAGGCTTGCATTGGATTGGGGTCTGCGGCTTTCCTATTTGTTATTAAATCTAGTCGCTCTAACTGGATCTAGCCTAGTGCCATGCCCTCAATCCAATCCAATCCAAGGCTTGGACTGGATTTGTCGACTGTTTCCTATGCATCGGGTAACACACTCTACACCGGGCGAGCAGAGCCCGCGCTCCGCTCTAAGCAGAATATATTGCCTATTTTTCTGCCCCCAAGTCCTCAAATCGCTGTTCAGGGCACCCGATGGCGTTTCCGGCTCATTTTCCCTGACTGGGCTGGCTTTTTGAAAATATCGCTGACAATTCCCTGATTTTTCCCGGTAAATAAAATTTCCCTGGCAATTTCCGGTCGCTGACACCCCAACTCTCCAAATCATATAGTGTGTTCCCGTGAGTATCAGAAAGCTCACCTGGGGTGTTATGATTTTTCAAGGGGGCTAATGATCTTCCAAAAATTTTTAGGGTTAGATCTCAGTAGGTCTCTAAGAGTACCACCAAAGAATTATTGTTTAGCATCTTCAACTGCCTGCTTACAGATTTTGGAATTGTCTAAATATTTGTCCCATAGAGTAGTACCGTTTAGTTTCTTTGCTCTAGAAAAGAGTTGTTTTTTAGTATTAAGAAGGCTTTTTAGGTGTGTAGAAAACCAGGGCTTTTGAATATTAGATGGTATTTTAATTTTAGGCACAAACTGATTCGTAATCTCTAAAAGCTTATTCTTAATTAAGGACCAGTTATCTTCTACTGACCTCAGACCAAAAGAACCCTGAAAATCATTTAAGAAAATATTAAGAGCCAAACCAATCTCAAAGGAGTTCCAACCAGTAGTCAAAAAAAAACCTCTGTTCGCAACATTATTTCTGGACAGCAATGTTAGCGTCTATTAGATCACTTATGGCATCGATAACATTCCCAGATAATATTAGGCCCGGGATAGATGTCAAAAATAATACTATAATAGGGCCCTATTATAATATTATGCATCAACAAGCTCAACTAAAGCCCGTTAGTCAAGAATAAATTGAGAATCAAATTTTCACGCATCACAACCTGATCAAGAGTGATGTATTTCTACAATTACTGTCAGGCATATACACAAACTCAACTCTCCTACGTCACGCCGCGGTGGTGGCGCGTCGGACGCACTTCCGGTTTGGGGTGGTGGGCAGAAGTCGCCGTGCGAGACATGCATTCTTTTCGGAGAAACCAGACAAAAAACCTGTGTTCTCGTCAAAATGCTGCAACGGGGACTGTACAAAGAAAGTCTGGAAAGGTTTGAACATCAGTTTTCATCTATTTCTGCACGCTCTGTTTGTCCGAGTATGTGGATAGTAGCCGTGAAAAGGGTAAACCAGACGCTGTCGAACTACGATTGCTTGAGCGGGCAACACTTTGTGGTCACCAGATGTATTTGTTTTGTTCCAACATGAACGAGAGAAAACCACCAAGTTGTCCGGGCCACCCGCGGGTTCAGTGCGTCTTCAAGTTCACACGGCCGCCTGATCGTTCGAACTTTCGTCTGCTCTTTCGAACTTGTCTGCTTTTTGTCGTCTGCTCGTTCAAACAAAAGTGGCCCGTAGACCAAACTTTGACCCGGTGATTGCAATAAGAAGTAATTGCAGGCCTCAAAAGACTGAAGTAGGCTCGGTGTAAACAGTGGATACAAGATGTTGATCATTGGTACCAGTGGTTATCACCGACTTGTTACGCTTGGTCTGCTTCCGCTTCCGAATTTCAATATCCACATCGATCATCGCCGATACCTTCTACACTTTTGCAGCACGAGCGACGCCGCGACCGAAAATATCTAGAAGAATCTCATCATGGTTTTGGCGTCCATTCTGTGGCGTTCACGAGAATGAATCGCCACAGCAGCTAACAATAGACAAAATACTAAAAATTAAAAAATAATAGAACATGTTCATAATTCTAACATAAAAAATTTTAAAAAAATTGGTCTGCTTTTATTACTGCTCCTTTAAATTCATGTCTTGAGTGAGTAAACTTTCCAGGGGTGCATAGTATTTTTATTAGTAAAAAAAAAATTATGTAACCCAAACTCATCTTTATTTTTTTAGGCAGGGAAGGGGGGAGGGGGTGGGAGGGGGTTAGGGGAGGAAGGGGGAGGGGGGTATATATATCAAAACTATTTGTTGCTTTCTAATAGAAGTTGCACACCTCAATTTGTTGCAAACTCAAACACATAATTGGGTTGAAATCGGATGCCAATTAGTAAACATTTTTCCCAATATTATTGATGCAAGGCTTTTTTTGCTTCACCAAGTCCATTACCTTCATGAGGAGCATTAATATGACTAAA